GATATTTATCCATTTGAATGTGACACTTGCAAAGCAAAATTTAAACAGAAAGGTAATTTGAATAGTCACAAATTAACACATTCTGATATTTATCTTTTTGAATGTGATACTTGTATATCAAAATTTAAACGGAAAAGCGATTGGAAGATTCTCAAACTAACACATTCGGATATTTATCTATTTGAATGTAACACTTGCACTGAAAAATTTAAACTTAAATACAATTTAAAGAGTCATTTATTAACACACTCAAATGAGAATTTGTTTAAAGTGAAATTCAGTGACCCATTCAGCTGGATAAATGTAAGTTTGAATGTAATGCTTATATTGGTGAGTTTAGCATAAGCATTTTTTTCAAATGATTCCATTTATTTTTGGTTAAGAAATTTATTACATGGAGAACTTGCCTGGTATATTTGGATGATGTCTGATCATGGGAAATTCATTCCAAGAACATCTCAATAACCTGAAACAAGTTTTTGACCGCTTCCAGAATGCCAACTTGAAAACTCAATCCAAAGAAGTGTTTTCTATTTCAAAAGACAATGGAACTCTCAGGTCACGTGGTATCTGAAGTTGGCATACAAGTTATGAAAGGAGTGATAGATGCTGGCAGAGATGGGCCAAAACCACGCGACAAACATGAACTGAGGAGTTTTCTAGGATTGTGTTCCTATTATCGAAGATTTGTAGAAAGATTCCCTAATACAGCTGCTCCGCTTCATCGATTAACGAAAGAAAAGTCAACATTCAATTGAACCCAAGAATACGATTCCACATGTAGAAAATTAAAACGAGAATTATGTACAAGTCGAGTTTTGTCCTATCCCGATCAGAAGACATGTTGATTTTGCACTCAGATGCAAGCAACACCAGTATTAGAGTTATCCTTTCACAACTCTAAAATTCACAAGAGCATGTGTTAGTTTGTGAATCTTTAAATCGCCTTTCCGTTTAAATTTTCATTTGCATCTGTCACATTCGAAAGGATAAATATCCGAGTATGTTAATACGTGCCTTTGCCAATTACCTTTTTCTTTAAATTTTGCATTGCAAATTCACATTTAAAAAGATAAATATCCGAGTGTGTTGAAATATGCCTCTGCAAATTACCTTTTTGTTTAAATTTTGCATTGCAAGTGTCACATTCAAAAAGATAAATATCCGAATGTGTTAGTTTGTGAATCTTTAAAACGCGTTTCCGTTTGAATTTTGATTTGCAAGTGCCACATTCAAAAGGATAAATATCCGAGTGTGTTGATACGTGTCTTTGCAAATTATATGGTATGCTGGGTTCGGTAATTGCATCTGCGAGCGAAATGAGCAAATTATGACAGACGTCACGTGATCACTTATCCCTTTTCACGTGTCAAATCACATGACATCTGTCAAATTTTGCTCACTTCGCTCGCAGATGCAATTACCGAACCCAGCATACCATATAATTTGCAAAAACACGTATCAACATACTCGGATATTTATCCTTTTGAATGTGACACTTGCAATGCAAAATTTAAACAAAAAGGTAATTTGCAGAGGCACATTTCAACACACTCGGATATTTATCTTTTTAAATGTGACATTTGCAAAGCAAAATTTAAAGGAAAAGATTATTTGAAGAGACACAAACTAACACATTCTGATATTTATCCTTTTGAATGTGATATTTGCAATGCAAAATTTAAAGAAAAAGGTAATTTGCAAAGGCACGTATCAATACACTCGGATATTTATCCTTTTGAATATGAAAAAGCAAATCAAAATTTAAACAGAAAGTCGATTTAGGGCCGAATTTATTGTAGGTCCTTGAGGTTTCCTCAGACCTTAAGAAAGCCTTGAACGTTTAGAGTTGACATGACTGACTTGTCAAATAGTGGCAAGTGTTCATTCTAAATTCGCGACTCCAAGGAAGATTCGAGGAACGACTATAAATTCGGCGCTTAAAGATTCACAAACTAACACAGTCGGATATTTATTCATTCGAATGTGACACTTGCAATGCAAAATTCAAACAGAAAGTTTAAATAGACACAAATTAACACATTCTGATATTTATCCTTTTGAATGTGACACTTGCAAATCAAAATTTTAACGGAAAAGCGATTGGAAGATTCACAAACTAACACATTCGGATATTTATCTATTTGAATGTAACACTTGCACCGTAAAATTTAGACTTAAATACAATTTGAAGAGTCATTTATTAACACACTCAAATGGGAGGAGTTTTAAATGCAACATATGCCACGCCAAATTTAAAGCTGGAATTTGTTTAAAGTGACATTCAGTGATCCATTCAGCTAGATAAATGTTAGTTTGAATGTAATGCTTATATTGGTGAATTTAGCATTAGCATTTTTTTTTCAAATTCTTTCATTTATTTTTGATTAAAAAATTTATCATTTATAGCTTTGAAGCTGTATAATTTGCTGTTTATATTGTTTATTGTTTTTTACGCCCTAAAACACCAGCTAGGTTTTGTATTTAATTTGTAATTTTTGATGAAATATTCAAATATCACTATCAAATAGTATGCATTTTTAAATCTCAGTAATAGTATTTCTATAGTTTTTTTTTCTTCATTTACTTATATCGCTGGCATCAGTGAACTTTAGCACAAATATTGAATTTCTAAACTCAAAAACAATTGAATGAAGCCGTGTATAATAGCTGGGTTCGGTAATTGACACGCGAAAAGAGATAAGTGATCACGTGACGTCTGTCAAATTTTATACACTTCGCTCGCAGATGCAATTACCGAACCCAGCTATTATACGCGGCTTCATTCAATTGTTTTTGAGTTTAGAAATTCAATATTTGCGTTGAAGTTCACTGATGCCAGCGATATAAGTATATGAAGAAAAAAAAATTGTAGAAATACTATAGATAAACTGACACATTTTAGAGATGAATATCTCGAAAACGAGAAAAGATAACGGGATGCGGTTTGTTCTGGAAGAATAAGGATTTTTTAAAGTTTTTTTTCATGATGTTGACGAATCCTGAAATTTGGTTTTACAGACATTCGATTTTTTGAAATAATAACATACTGCCTTATTCTTGATGAAAAACCCAGTATATTTTGTCATCATCAGAAAGCGTGACTTTTCTAGTTCACAAAAATGTTTAATTTTTTTCAATTATCATGAAATTAAATCGTAAAAATTGCACTTGGTTGAAGGGCGTACTGTCGACTGGACAAAAAAAAATGATAAGAATCAATTTTCACGATGTAAGTTTAAGATAATTGAAAAAAATTATACATTTTTGTAAAGTAGAAAAATCAGCCTTTCTGACGATGACAAAAGATACGGGGTGTTTCATTGAAAATAAGGCAGTTATTTTATTTCAAAAAATCGCATGTCTGTAAAACCAAATTTCAGCAAATTTCAGGATTCGGAAATAATGTGGAAAAAAACTTTGAAAAATCCCTGTTCTCACAGAACAAACCGCATCTCGTTATCTTTTCCCGTTTTCGAGATATTTACCTGCAAAATGTGTCAGTTTATCCAAGGACACCCTGTATTACAAAGATATTAAAATGCAACCTATTTGATACTAATATTTTAATATTTCATCAAAACTTAAAAATTAAATACAAATCATAGCAAGTGTTTTAGGGCATAATATTTTCAAAGAAGCTATGACCTCTCGAACTCCATCCAGCACCTACACTATTATTGTTAGAAAAGTTGTATATTATTATGACTCTCTGGGTCCTCTGTGGCATAAACCTAATATTCTCACTGCGTTTCATATTTGCTGACTGGAAGCAACAATGGCTTTGGCTTCTGCTAAAATGATGACACGATACAAAACATCACACCACACAAAAATCCCGAGCTAAAAATAGATTGCCATGTTGCCAAGCTTCGGACGCAATAACATACTAGGTTTATTTACTGTATACTTGACTCTGTATATTATTTTCGCACCTCTACCGGAGAATCGATGAACTAATAGTATACATTTTTATCTATAACACGAATATTATTGCGTCCACTACCAAACAGAAAATCCAGTAAAATCATAAGAATCTCAATAGATGCTTCCACTTTTTATTGTGGAAAGGAAACTTAGAAACTTTTACCACCTGTTCGCGCCTAAATTTTGTTTAAAAATAGACGGGAACTCGCAAAAATATGAGTTGACATTGTTGCGTCCGATATTCGGACGCAGTAATTCGAAGGAAGCAACAGTGTATGTGTTGAGGAAGTTTATGGACGCAGCAATGATAGGATTTTGTATATATATATATATATATATATATATATATATATATATATATATATATATATATATATATATATATATATATATATATATATATATATATATATATATATATATATATATATATATATATATATATTTACAGAGTATCTTGACCGGAGAATTTATAAACAATGGGAGTTTCTTGGGGTATCGGTCGTCTTGAAGGGCTAGGAAATAAAAATCTCTTTTTCCACAAGATCTCAGTAGTATTTATTCGAACCTACTTACATCTAATTAAATGTATTCCTAAAATTACCTAACTGGTCTAGTGATGACACCAAAAATCAATGTCTATGAGAAACTAGTATTTATACACTTCAAAATTTTATTCTACATATTCTTCTATCTCTTCTATTTTTCTTATATCTATCAATTATTGTTTATTAATTATTTTTCCATATTTTTAACATTTATATTCTGTACAGTTTGATAGTCAAAATAGAATAACAACAATTTTCCGACAATTTGAAAGCTTTTCGACTATAAAATTCTCACTTTGCAAGTAAGTTATAGTTAAAAATTTATATGTCCTAGTTATAGTTTTGATTATTCATAATAATAAGATCTTTTATATTGTTGTAGCCCTGACGAAGGCAATAAATAATTGCCGAAAGCTCGGCTTAGTGGAAAAAGAGATTTTTATTTCCTAGCCCTTCAAGACGACCGATACCCCAAGAAACTCCCATTGTTTATATATATATATATATATGTATATAAAAAAAAAACTACCTTAAATCTCTAGAAGGGTATCCCGTTTCGGTCCGTCCCCATCCTGACACCGATGCTCTAGTTCCTCCTGGATGGTCGTCACTAGATATTTCAATGTTTCGGGCTTTTTCACTGAACTTAATTGGTTCGTCTAATAACAACACCGATATATCGCTATCCAAACCCTTGAAAATACAAAACAATTATTAATCAAGTTTATAATGTAAAAAGATGAACTTCTTAACTGAAATTTAATTAAAACTTTATAGACGTAAATAACATAAAAACAAGTTTTATTAAGTAGCAAATTGATAAAATTTTCGATGAAGATGGAAACCTATATCAGATATATTTTGATAATAGAAATTGTAACATAATATCTTTTAAGTTAAGTACCTATTTGAATAGTTGAGAAGTAATTTTCATTATAAACGAAACGGGACAGAAGTTTGGAAAATGTAATAAGCTGTTCATCAGAAAGTTAGGTCAATAATCTATTAAGAAAGTTTTATCCTTACGTGATAAGAAAAATCTGGATGTTTAACTACTTTAACGATTTTGTGAAAATTTCCTTCGTCATCGTCCACATGATTAGCACCAACTAAAACTGCCAGATTTTTTCTAGGGGTTAAATCTCTTGTGTGTGTGCAATGAGCAGCTAAAAAAAAATGTTTCAGGTTTTATTGTTCTAATGTTCCATGAAAAATACCTGTAAATACCACCCTTGGTTTAACGATAACACCTCCACAAATAATTCTATTGAATTTTGTGTTTACTAGGGCTACTTGGTAGGGGTGATCGGTTATGTCCACTACTTTTCCATGGAGGATTTCAGCATTTTTATGTGACTGGCCTAAAAAATAATTAGGTATTTCAACTTACATCGTTTCCTTAATGATTTTTTTTTATGAAAAATCCTCAAAAAGTGTCCATTTGCACGAAAGGATATATCACGATCTTGTTGATATTTATAAAGGCTTAGAATATTAATTTTTTTCTTATTTGTAACAGATATTCGATTTGACTTTTATAATGTATTGTCACGTTTTTTTTTTTTTTTGTTCAAAGCCCATTAAATCGCTGTAGATGACTTACCGACTGCGAGTTTTAAAATAAAAAGCACACAAACACAAAACGACAATCGAACAACGGTATTCATTTTAAATACGGACAAGAAAACCGAGCTCTTGGAGTATTTGCATTTATTTTTATAGATTTCCGCTTCATGGAGCACAGCCAACCAACGCTTTTTTCCTTTTGTTTTCTTTTGGCCCCAAAATTACCGCGAAAGAATACATTTCAGAGATTCGGTTGCGATATGATTAATTTTTATTGGGACACTACATTAGGCGATTTAAGAGGATATATACATATTTTTCGTTTCCGATTTGTGCTTTGAGTAATAATTTTACTTGTTTTTCCATGTACTTACTTCTGGCTGTATGAGTGAATAATTCTTAAATAAGTATCCAGAAAAAATGGAACAATTTTTGGGTTCATGGTTTCATGCACCTCTCGTTATCAGTAAGGAAGATACGGGTTTTCTTACTAAAATTGATGAACCTTGGTTATGATGGCTCGTCTCCGTTTCCGTTAACTATAAAGAATACAGAAGGAGTCTGGAGTGAATAAGGACCATTAGATTCCATATCTCAAATGATAGAATTTGATGCTAGTTATGAGAGTGTCTAATCCAAGCTAATCTGATATAACGAGTGTTACGGAGGTTGTCCCAAATATAATTAAAATCTTTGAATCTTAACTTTTAAAAAACAAAGTTTACTGAACATAAGTAAATGTTGCAACCATGTATGCACCCTCAAGTTTAGGATTGATCGAGCGCGCCACAGAAAACGAAGGTACCGAAAACCGAATAGGATACAAGAGAAGAGGCGATTAGGCATTAGAGAGACTTGAGAACAAGCTGGGGCTGTTCCTTTTTCCTTTGACGCGTGTCGGTAATTATTCATTATTCAATTATTTTCATTTCTATTTTGCATTAAAATTGATTGTTCAATCCAATTTTTTATTAGTGTGTGTGTAAGGAGCGTTCACAGGTTAGTGGATTAAATGTTATTTTGTTTTTGAGAATTCAATTTATGCAAGTTCCTATTATTTTGTTCATTTTCATGTATTTTTTGTTTGTTTATAACATTTTTTATAACATGTGCGTTGTTCATGTATTTAACAAAAAATCGTTTCATACTGTAAACAACACAGATAAAGAAGTAAATTAAAACCTAAGAAATTATGTGCTGTCTTTTTGTGCTGAGATTTTGATTTTGTGGATTTGGAGCGTGTATTAGGGCCTTGTTGAATTTACTAACATTTTCCTACCCTGACGAGAGAATATCCTAACAAATTGAAATAATCAATCCAGAGATATTGGCTCAAAAACAACTATAGCTGAGTAGCTTCCCGTATGGGACCTCAGTATCCGCTGGGAAACCGGCTAACTAACAAAAAAACTCTTCAGTATTGAATATAGGTAGCGTTGATTGAATGTTGAGTGTGTAATTAATATTTTAGCAGAAAGACCAGAGACGGTACCTAATTTAAACTTTTATTGACTTAAACTATTGAATTATTGACTCACAATTATTATTTAAAATGACACAGTATGTTTCGATTTTTGAGGAATGTTAGATCGAGGGTTTCTCTGCCGTTCTCTTTCCCCTCGAGAATTCCAGGTCGAGAACGGTACGATTTACTTTAATAATGAAGTAGACGTTTCACAAATTTTTCGTTTCTTTTACATATCACAACCTCCCTTACATTTCCCAAATATTTGCTATGTCGGGCGCATGTCCAGTAAGTAAAATTGAGTAAGTTTCCACAACGTAGGTCCTATTTTTTTTGTCTTTCTTCATTTCGTTTTCAGACGATTTGTTGTTTAAAGGTAATAAAAATTACCATCGTTCAATCTTACCGAACGAACCCGGGTATGTTATACTACAGCATCCTTTTTTCGTTTGAAGATTGAGCTTCCGAAAATTGATACAAAATATGAAATTCCTTTCCTTCTTCTTAACCAGATGTCCAGCGTCCAAACACAAATTTACCAAGAACTATTAGATCTTTTGATTGCACCAAGTCGCAACATTCAACATTTCTTCGACTTCATCGTCTATGATTTTTTCTTTATACGGTGAAGCAGGATAATACCTTTTTTGGCCTTGTACCAGATTCAAAAATGATCCTGATGTTCTGCAACCTTACAGAATCTATAAGAGAAATTTTGTCAGTAACTTAAGCAGTTTTTTCACTAGATGTTAAGTGGTGGATAGTGGAGAGCTGGTATGTGACAAACAGCACAGCAAGTTCATTGGCCTCAGAAAAATGCCGAACACCAGGATCAATTTGTGGGAAAGGCCAGGGAGTACTAAAACATCAATTACTTTCGTCTACATACAGTGGCGTAGCAAGTAGGGGGGGGGGGGGGGGCACTGCATGTACGGCGCCCCTACCGCTCTTAGAAAACAAAAGCAAAAATTAAGAAATTATAAAATTGGGCGATACCCATTTCGGCACATCGAACCGGAGTCACACAGTTGGGCCCTTTTACCTGAACTTCAGTTTATGCCCTTTAAGCATATATAACAGTTGGGCCCCATATACAGGTATCTACTTAATGAGATTATGGCAAACATAATTATTTAACGTCCATGTTTAAGTATACGGGGTGAATAAGAAAACTATGAATTATTTCATTTTAAGTACATTTTTATTTCCTAAACGAGTAAAATACATAGGTACACACAAATTAATTTTAACTTACAAATCTATACATGAAAATGATAAATAAGATATAAACTCTAAAAGCACTACTTATAAACAATTCAACTTGGCGCATACTTCCACGAAATACATTTGATAAAATTTATTCTGTCAATTTTTTTTTACCTATACAGGGTGTCCCACGGTGGATGGCGTATTAGACGTTTATGGAGAACTAAAAAGCGGATCATTTTGAAAATTTGGCAACCAAGATAAACGACCATAAACTACACTTTAAAAATATTTTTGTTTATGCAGTGTTGCCGCTTCTACTCTAAACTTGTAGCAACATTGCTATTTCAGATGGAACACCCTGTATGTGATTGCATATTTCGATTCTACGTAAAATTTTGAGCAGATTTCATGTGATATACCCTATACCTAAGTTCAACTGTTTCGGAAATATTGACAGTTCAAAATTGACTTTTTGCAACTTTGACAGGCTGTAAAAATATAAAAAAAATAGCGCTGTTGCCACTGGTTAAGAGTAGAAGCGGCAACACCGCATAAACAAAAATATTTTTGAAGTGTAGATTATGGTCGGTTATCCCGGTTGCCAAATTTTCAGTATGATCCGCTTTTTAGTTCTCCATAAACGTCTAATACGCCATCCACCGTGGGACACCCTGTATTCCTGTATTTTGCTTTCTACAAATTCCTTTTTCCTTTTTACATCAGCTCTCATAGCTTTTGGAAATTTGTTAGCTGTTACAATTTTAATATATATTTCGCTTTGAAAATTTATTAGCATATCTACAAATTTGAATATGTTGGGATGCGAATGGTAAAAACTGTCATTAAACTTTGAATGAAACGATTCATATGCATTCGTCGTTCGATGCAATGAAGATGAAAGGTTTGCCCAAATGTTTGGAGGAAATTGTGAATCGTCGGTCATATAATTTTCTACTAAATAATCACAAAATTTTGTTAATCTTTCATCTTCTGGTAAGTCACTGACTAAATCAAAAATGAAACAATCACCCACTGCAGAAGGTTCTAAAAATTGAAGACCAAAAAATTACTTAAGTCTTTTTCCAATTTCGGTATTATTTTTATATTCGCTACTTAATCCAAGCGACTGCAATTTTCTGAACCATGCCTGTGATAGATGAAATCGGCAACCAATAATTACTGACTCGGGCCAAGTAACAGAAACAGCATTATGAATGGCTATCTCGAAATCTATTACTACATTTTTTGGGGTCAATATCAAGTTATTTTCAACACATTTTTCAGTCAAAATACTAAATAAGGTTTCATATATAAATTGGATCTTACTCGGTAACAAACAAAAAATAAGTGGTACATAATGACCATTCTTGTACCCATGGAGAGTGAAGAACTGACAAAAAAACTTTGCACAACAATTAAAGGTTCCGTCCATAAAAACAGTTTCTACAGAACACAGAAAACGCAGATTTGTATAACAAGAAAATATCACTATGTTATGTTGTTCACTATTTATCATTAAAAACGATTCGTTCTTTGAAGTTTTTGGTGAGAATACTCTTAAAGCACAAAAAACTTCGTCTTGATTCTTGGGTAATGTGGGAACTTGTGACTTTCTACACTCGTAAATATTTTTTCGAATAAGGTTTATGTCATATGTTGTTATGTTTTCAACTGATGTGCCGCACTGTCGAAGTTCACTATGAATTATTTTTGTAGGTCTTTCATATGGATTACTAGCAGCTTTTCTTTTAATAGAATTGCTTAAATTTTGCCTTTCAATATTTTGTTCAGGCATATGATTATGATTTGACTTAGATTTTAAAATACATTTAAAATCTGTGGCCGGTGTATGGACACTGGCTGGACACTTTGTTTTTTTGTTTACACACCTCAAATATTCACTGCCATCTTTTAAAGTTTTTCCAACACAAAACTTGAATCCACTGATCACTAGAAGTTGCTTCCCTTTCTCACTTAACATTGGTTGAACTTCCATCGTCTTCTAAAGTTTGCGAAAAACTGACAAAAATAAATAATGTTACTTATTTTATTAATTGCCTACCTTTGCATGCACCTTGTATAGGTACTTAAGGTACCTTCATTATACGAATTTCAAGGAAAAAATTATAATAGTTCATACACTCATTTACATATCAGGGCCCAACTGTTGGGTGTAACCAGCAGGTTACCTGTAAAAGGGCCCAACTCGGTAACGCCCCATCGAACAGGTACCCCGAATAAAAATAACCCAAATCGGCACAAAGTTAAGAGGGGCCCCTTCGTTTTAAGTTCCATTTCGGCACATAGGCAATTAAAGTAGGTAATAAAAGTCGGGTCAAATAAACTTTAAAAGATTATTATTATTAAGAATATTGACAACTTGCATTATAATTTCCAGCCTTAAAATACATACATATTTACATACAT